TATTAGGATCTCGATCGTCAGCATTTTGTCTTGCCTTTTCCGCACAACCTTCCATAAACCACATGTGCCACTGTAAATATTCTGGCTCCTTTAAAAGAATTTTGGCCAAGGCCTTCCAATCATAAGGAGCAAGATTACCATACTGATCTGCTACCGACGTTATTAATTCTTTAGTGTAATGAGCCTGAGGGCCATAAAGGGTTACAGCCTTTTTTAATTTTGCTAAATCATCTATATTAAATGCTTCCCATCTAGGGGGAACTGCCGCTCCATCTATTGGCTGCGGCCTGATTACAGGGAAAGCAAAGGCAGGCTTTTCCTCATCAGAATCCCCTAATTTTGGTAGATCAGCCAAAGCTAGCTTGGCTTTACTCCAATTAGGGTTAGATGGAGGAGGTGCAGAGGGAACTACAGGCGGGTTCTGCTTAACGGAGAGTTGTTTCACCTCTTGTGTTAAATGCTGTATAGCCTGTAAAATTGGGCGATTGTCATAATTTGATATTGCTGCGGCAGCTAAAGCTGAGTCGGCTGTAGTGGATTTTACTTTTAGTTTGGACGCCTTTTCACTACTTAAAGCGATAGCGTCATTTTGAACTACATTTTGCTCCTCCTCTGTGAGGGGCAATTCCTGAATAACTGGCTTAATTTCTAGTTGAAGATTTTCTACAATATGTTCATCTTCCATAGCTTTTAATAAAGAGTACACAACCGACCAAATCGCCCAAAAACGTAAAGGAATCTTTTCCTCCTGTTGCATAGCCCTTTCTATACTAACCCTTGCCTTCCTCCATACTTCTACATCCAAAGTTCCTTCATCTGGAAACCAAGGATTATATTCTTTAATTGTATCAATACACATATCCAAGTCAGCTGACCTGAGCGATATGCCATATATAGATAATAAATGTTTAAGAATTTTTAAGAAAGGAGAGGAAGCAGATTGTCCCATTTCCCCGTAATAAAATTATACTTACCTTCCTAAGCGACCTTCGGAGTCCCTGAATTCGGGCGCCACTTGTCGTGAGTGTCTTAGAGCACTCTGAACTCCGGGCAAGGTAAACACGCACACACGCCTGATCGGGACACGGGGGGTACAGTGCTCGGAAAAGAAAGACAGGAGAGACACCTTTACTGTCTGCACCGCGTTACACTGCACTGCACGCACAATCTTTATTTTAGGATTCATATATAGTAAACCCGATCAGTTCACAGAGCCCAGATAATTAAGTGGTGAAAAGGCATTCTTTGTGGCAAGCTACAACGTGACAGACTACAATGTTTATTCTAAAACTATCTAAGTGAAGTAAATAATCACAACCAGTTCTCATAACTTCTCTAGCCCAGGAAGAAATTCATTAGCTCAAGAATGTTGTTAATTTGTCTGCTGTTAGTGTCACAAAGGGTGGCCAGCCACTTCCTCAAGACTTCTGCAAAACAAAGCCAGCTCACAGTATGGATTCCAGAGGGTGAGGGGTCTCACTGAGAACAGGCATTCCTATTCTACCTCCTTCTCGCATACCAGGGCGGCTATTGTAAATTGCAGGTTAGAGGGGGTTGGGCCTACAAAGTGACACCTCATCCCCCACAGACAAACAGAAATGGACACACACAAATACACATGCACACACATACACACACACACACACACACTTTCCTGGTCATGCCTAGGGGCTAAGATATAGCAGAGCTCACCTGTCAGCAGAATCTGCTGTTGGAGAGGGAAGCACACCTGTCCTGGGCTGGGATCTACCACTCTCCTCACATAAGTACTAATTCATTTTTAGAAAACCTAGAAAAATACTTCTGTCATATAACTTTCTCAGCAAGAGAATTCTAGAGTTTGCTTCACTTGCTCTGCTTTGTTTTGTGTTTTCCTTTACCACATTTATTTATTTATATTTAATGTGGTCCAGTATTTTGATCTCTCGTCCTTTTTTTATTTCTATGACTCATTTTCTTATTGTTGTATTATGCTGTTTATTTTATCATTTTTTCAGTCCCCTTTTAAGCTTATTATATTATCAAATTCATCTTTATTAATTTATGTGTTTCTAGTTCACTCTGCACTATTTTGACCCTTTTTTATTTCTACAGTTGATACATTTGTTAAATTAAATTTTTTACTGTATTTCCATATCTTGATGGGTACTGATGGAAAGACAGAGCTTTACATAACCATAAATTCCCTAACTACTGTTGATCCATGTTAGATATTCCTTGAGAATTCTCTTGCCCCTTTGGATCTTGTTATGTTAGTGGGTTCTGTGGCATTCCTGTGACAAATGAGGGGTCATTTCCTGTTTTCAAGTCACTCCTGCATTCTGATGAGGTCAGATTCGTAAATGAATTGGGTGTTCAGTTGTGCCCACTGGATTGGTGGGGAACATGTGATACAGCCTAGTGCATACATGGCCAGGATCATTACTAATCTTGGTGTTAGCCTTCCATGATGCACCCTTCCTCCATATTGCAATTGGGTCTGATCCATACTTGAAAGTGAAAAAGGTACCTCTTTAACTCTGATCCTTCCTGAGTAGTAGGCTGGGTCTCCCAACCTGTAAACCAGACTGACACCACCTCATCCCCTAGTGAACCTTACACAATAAGCAAAAAAAGGTAGATAGAGTACAAATGTTATACACCAATTGCATCTTATTAACCATCTCAGGTTTACATCCAAATTGCAAAAAAAAAAGAATAGAATTTGCAAAGCTCAAGGAACCTGTGGAAGTCAGCCACATCCTCTTTATGTGGCAGAGTCTGCACAGAACATAGGTCCCCATGCTCTTTTGATTTTCTACTTAGTCATGCACAGAGGCCTTTTCTGCACTCTGCTGTACTAATAAACTCTTCTGGTGTGCCCAACATTGCAGGTGACCAGCTGGACCTTCCAGGCCGGGAGGATTTTTCTCAGGGTTGCATCACTGGGGGAGGACATCCTATTCCTTGATAACAGTAATAAACTCCAGCCTCCTCACCCTGACCTCTGCAGATTTTGAGTGTGAAATCGTTTCTTGATAAGCTGCTAATGCACCTTTCTAGGACCGAAGAGTGCTTTTTGAAAACCTGAAAAATCATGCCTTGTGGAGCCTGGTATGGCTTATGTACCATTATCTCAAATAGATGATTCCATCACTATGCTCAAGACTCTGTTTGGAACTAGAGGAGAAGGAGCCTGGTTCTCCGGGTGCCAAAGAGAGTGAGAGAGAGTGGGGTCTTGGCATCTGAATATCTCCTGTGGACCCTTAATCATTGGATAGAAAGACAAGGTCATGTACAGGCATGATGATTCATTTTCATATTGTCTCCATTATTTCATATTTGAAGCTAAATTATTTTTGCGATTTTCATATATAGGAAAAAGTGTTCACTTATAATAAAGTATCCAACATTTGCACCCACTTGAGAATTAATGTGGATCATCCTTCTCTTTCATTGTGACATCATCACCTCACCATAGCTCCAACTCCAGTGGAATTTTCCTCACTCACACAGACCTCAAGCTCTTGTTCTCACCCTGTTCCTGAAGGATGCAGTCTCTCACATGGAGAGAACAACACAGGTAACAGTGGGACCCCATCCCACTCACTCATTCTCCATCCTCATCTCCCTCCATCCTTACCAGGGATGCAGAGCATTACCAGCTCCAGGAAATGAGCAGGGAGCCTCATTTTGAAATGCTGAAATGAGGGTCCAGATGAATCAAGACAGGTTGAGTTTTTATCTGGAACTTGAAGGGAAGCCTCTCCTTGGGGACATCATGCAAATGTCCTGGTGGGCATAGTAAAGGGCAGGATGGGAAGCCTCTCCCATGAGCAAAGTTGCTTCAAATCTCTATATTTGGGGAAAATCAGAAGAGCAAAGTCCATGTGCTGTCCAGCACTAGGAGGAAGGATCCCATTTCTAAAGGCCCTGTCCATACTGCAGCATGGTGCCTCAGTGCTCTTCCCCAGTAAGGAAACCACTGCCTCCTCCAGTTACTGCTCAGCACAGCAGCTTTGTGCTAGTGACAACATGGAGCCTGGAGAGGGCTTCTGGCAAATGTGGTTTAGAGGTGAACTATTGAGATGTTAGTCTTCATGGGCACAAGGGTTACACACCATGGGGCACTGCTGTCAACAGAATTTTCCAGGAATATAAAAAAAAATTTCTGTTTCAGATAGAGAATTAGGTGTCCTGTTGAAGGCAAGTGGAGAAAGAGACAATGATTGTGCATTAGGTAATCAATACATAATTCCCAGGCAGTAGTTTAATTGATGAATATCCTGTCTTACTTATCTCCACAGAGAGATGTTAATATGAATACGAACAGATATTAACATGTAAATGGGTATACTATAAACATATGTTTGTATAGAAATACATCTCTCTATATGTTTTTACATGTTAATCCGTATCTTTGTACACAGACATGAAGGAATATGTATCTATAAATGTATATATATATATATATATATATATATATATATATATATATGGCTATATATAAATGCATATATGTACATTCCAATGTACTAGATTAATTAAAATTGTTCTTAGGGGGGTAATTCCTTTGAAATCTTTCTTAATTTGGGGAATTTTGAGACACAATCACACTTTGTAGTTCGTCCTGGCCTTGAGTTCACTGTGCAGCCCAGGCTAGGTTCAAACAGGTCAGCTACATATCCTCATTCCATCAGAAACTGCTCACTCACTGTACAGACACCCAAGGGTCTGTGGTTAACTCACCAGTTCAGTCACCATGGGTTTGGAAGACATTTCACTGCTACTAACAGCAGCTTATAAGCTGAAGACATAACATAATGTCTGCAACCAGTGTTGTAGTCATTCTCCCCGTTTGATTCATCCTGGAGCATCCTGAACTCATTTTAGTGTCTATCCTGCTGTTTGCTGGCCATGTGACATGGGAGGTGCACTCTCTCCATCTACCTAAAAACTGTATCCCATTCCTTCTGATAAGAATGGTGACAAGGTTTAGCAGAAAATTAAATGGACTGGTGTGCCTTACATACTTTATTATGAAAGATTCTTACAGAAAAACTAAGTAAAGACATCCACATTACTTTTCCATTTCTACAGAAAGATTTCACATGATTTCACTTCTTGAACATGCAAAAGTCATCATGTTACACTTCTGCAGGTCAGAAGTCCAACTCAGTGTTCAGTGTGATAGAGCCAGGATGCTGTCAGGATGCATTCACTCTGGAGGATCCAGGAGGGAATCTGTCCTTTTAAAGTCCTAGAGGTGTCCCAGAGCCTGTGTCCCTCATATTCTTACTCCCAACATTTCCTCCTGGCCCCTCTCCAGGTCATACCTCTGTGTGTGGCCTCCCTGTGTGCTGTCCAGATGTCAGTACTGAGAAACTTCAGTCCACAGGAAAGAAGGGTAAGATTTTGTGTTACAGAGATTCTGCTTTGCATTTTTTCAACATCAGTTAATTAAAAATATTCCATTGTTAAGGAGGAAAACTTTGTTCCCCTGTGGGAATAATGAGCTAGCTGATTCCATTTATGCATCCATTTTCAATTGCAAATCAGCATTGTCTGTTCTAAGACAGCGAAGACAGTGAGTTTTAAAGTTGTTTTTTCTATAAAGTGGCCATTGTTTGCTTGCTTAGTGTGTACCAGGAGAACAGACATATTGAGTGGCACCATGGAGAGCCCATGATGATGTTTTCAGTGTGGTGTAAAGATACAATGGGATGCACCAAAGTGAGATCCTCACCTCCAAAGGAGCTATCTATGGAATTATGACAGCAGGAATGACTGATATACTTTATCCAAAATTAAAAACAAATGTGTTCCCTAGAAAACACAGCAATTTAAATAGTTTGTGGTGTTCACATTGAAGGAAAGCTCTCTATGAGTATCTGAGACATCTAGAGCATTTATGCAGGGTGCAGGCAGCAGTGAGTCTCAGGTGAGTTTGTTGTGGGTGAACAGAGTGCACCCTGGAAAGCCAATGGGTACTTACTGGTCCTAACTTAGAGCCAGAACATGTTTTTCAACACACAGTTACACATGTGTCAAAATCAATAGTATTGTATACTAGAAATGTGGCTTTTTATAAATGTAAAATTTATCCATATCATCCTGTCTTAAAAAGGAAAAAGTTCTGTGACTGTGGCTCTGCTGTAGCACTGAGCATTATGGAAGCCCATACGAGGAAAATAATGTATTGATTTGTGCAATTATTATCTAAGGGAACTGTTATTCTCTATGGCTAACTTTTTTTCTCGTACAAATGTTGAAGATCTTTTGTTTTGGGGACTTTCATGGGAGCTGTTAAGTACTGAGTTGGGTAATATTTTCATTTAAAGTTTCATTAAAATTCAAAAATGAGGATTGTATGATCCTTTCTTGTATAGATGGTAATTCTGCATACACAGTGTTAAATGGAGATGCTTGAGTCTGGCCTCAGGCTCTGGTATGCAATCTACCCAGTGGACCCAGCAGTTGGCTTCCTAGCAGCTGGCCTTGAGGATGTCACCCTCTTGCTGACTCACCTTTGTTGTGGGGCTCTGCAGATCCTGCTGCTGTCTGAGAGCAAAGTAGAGCAATACGGTGCTGAGGTCTTCATTTTCAACCAAAAATTTTCACTATCCTGTTAAGGCTGGACTGTGTGCTTCTCTGCTCAGAGGTTTCTTTCCCTGTGGAGGAGGCACGGCCATCACTTCAGATCCAGAATGAGACCCTCAGTTCTTCATCTTAGCCATTCTGTGTAAGTCAGGGAATTTTCCCCATGCTATGATTTTTCATTTGAATGTAGGAATGATCCATCTCTCACGTTAAACGTGAAATAATAATAAAAATTCTTTATTCCAAAACAAAGAGAAATGCACATCAAGTCCAGTCTGTGCTTAAAGTATTCATTAATTTCTCTTTTTTGTCCTGACTTACTGTCATAGCCCCTAGGCCCCCTGGTTAGGCACATCCTTGGCTGCTGTGATTGAAATTTGGTGAAGTCTGAACACTCCTCATGTCCCATTGATGTCCACAGATTGAGATGAGTATGGTCTCATGATGGATGAGGATGGAAGTTTTCTTCTGTCTGTTTTCTTGTGGATGTTTAAGACTGACCCAGCACCTCCAAATTCTAATGAAGCACTATGCAACTGAGCTGTACCTGCAGTCCCAGATTTGAGATTTTTCTCATTTCTGCAAGGCGATACAATGTGATCAGCCCTGCCTGCTCTCTGCTGTCTAACCTTGTGTCCTATTGGGTGTCCTTTTCTCACAAATGCCTCTTCTCTGGGTCTGGTTTATGACCCTGAGATTGCTGAATTCTTCTCCTGCTCATGGCCTCATGACTCATTATTTCATTGCCCAGTTGCTATTTCCCTTGGTAATCAGGCTTCAGTTCGTTCCCCATTTTGACTACGACCCAGGTGAGAGTCTGGTGTAGCTTTTTCTCTTTTGAGAGCTGGACCTGAATGTTGAGGACTTTAACCATGAGAGTCTTTCATCACTGGTGGTGACTAGAAGCCCTGAGTTTTTCCACATGGATCACATTGTTCTCAGGGATGATCTGCAATTCACAGTGAAACTGCCTCTCACTTTCATAAAATCCTCCATGTCCTTTGAGGCCCTGGTATTTGGGACAGCCTAGGATGAAGCCAGTGAGGCATTTGCTTTGGTTGCAAAACTGAAGAAAGTGCCCACATCTCTGTCACTTGTATGATAAACTTTAATGCATCCAAAGGCCACTTGATATGAAAAAATCAGAATTGTAGGTGAAAACTGATAGAGTTACTTCCAAAAGATGAAAAATATTAACAAAAGATGAGAAATATAAAATAAAAAGCGGCCTTTATTCTGAGAACACGGAGAGAGATGACCGGCAACCCCCACCGCTGGCGTCCGGCGATCTCTCCGGCGGACACGCGGCGTGGGGGCCTGTAAATAATCTCGGTTTGGGGTGGAACCTAAGGCGGGCATTAGGGATACACAGGTAGCCCATTGGTCCTAGGTTTGGTGCCATATGTAAATTCCCAGGGGCGGGAAGATGGCGTCACAGGTAACTTCCTAGGGGCAGGGCAAGATGGGGCTTCCTGCTTCCGGTTGTGGCTTTCCTGGCTACAGTGTCCTGTCTGGGCCAAACCTTTCATATCCCGTCTTATGGTTATTATGAAAAGGGGCAAAGCTTTCTCTCTTTAACTACTTCCTGCTGGCAAAGGGCGCTGTACTGGAGCCTAGGGGAGTTGACGGGATGAAGGTTGATGCCCAGGTAGACGCTGGTACCAGGTGTTTTGGCCAGGACAGCTTCACTGGTGAATGCACGTATGTCAGACTGGAAAAACAAAGAGACAAGATGTTATGAGGAGACATGGCACTGTCATATTTAAGGACCCAGGTGAGGTAAAGGGAAAGGTGCCTTTGATTTAGACATATCATTCTATCAGGACCATGTTGAGGTAGAAACATTTCCACGGTGAGGCAGAATTCTGAAAATTAAACGTGGGGTTAGGAGGAGTGGAGTTATGAGAGGTGATTACTCCCCCATCTGAAAGCATAAAAGTTAAGACGGTAGGTTGGTAAGGCTTGTCTCTGGTATGCATGATGTTGGAGTCTGTAGGCAATACTGCTAAAGAGTCCTGCTGTAAAAATGATCATTAATAGAATGTAAGAAATTAGGAACCAAAGTGGATAACAAAACATGACTTAGCCTGTTAACTGTGGCTGCGAGGCCTTTGTGAGACGGAGACAGGTAGGAGACAGAAGATGAGATGACCACTCAGAATGATCAGATTTAGGGCTGGGAGGGCACCTCTTAGCCTGAGTGATGTGAAACCAGGATGGCAGTCTAGCAACTTTGATTTAGGCATGGGTCACTGTAACCTGGTTGTAGTCCTTGGAATGATTTGCTGTAACAGAACTTTAGCAAGTATGAGAAAGGCTTTTATGTATCCTGAAAAAGTATAAACCAAGTGAGAAGACTGGGACCTGCACAAAATAGGCCCTGTTTGTAAATGGCATAGGTTGACCATCAATACCCCATCATAGAGACTGAGGACTTAATATAGCAGCCTGAAAACTCAGGAAGAACTCTGTATATATGGCCTCTATGTCCACAAATATAGAGAATGTCTTACCTGAGAGTTTTGTGCGACTTGGAATCTGAGACGGACACCTTAAAGGGGGCTGTTGTTGCCCTGAACTTCCTCAGTCTTCAGCAGCGATTTTCTGTCGGTGACGAATCTGGCAGTGTCGACATTTCCTATGAGGGCTAGAACTTAGGATGGCTTACCCACTCTCTGGTGGCTAGGACAGTCCAGTAGCCCTGGAGTAAGGTCTCAAAGAATGCCAGGGTGGGGCATTTTCTTGCCCAGTATCTTCTGCTGCATTTGAGCGTGGTCCATGGAGGGGGCAGGCAGCTCCACCTTGTGTAGGTTTACCTGTCTCAGAACTACAAGTGTCACAAGTGTTAAAAATATAAAAAACCATATTAAGATCTCTCTAAGGTTTGAAGGTCAAGTTTTGCCTTTTTGTTTGGGATTTGGACTATAGTAGAATTAAGTAAGCATGCAGGAATTTAATATTGGCATTTTGGATTAGAGAGCAGGCTTTATCTGGATGGCATATCGCTTTTTTTATAGGGTGACATGTAGAATTAACAAAGCTTTAGTCTGCCAAACAAGGCTTTAATGGAAACATTTTGCAGTAAAGGTTTAGCAATCTTATGAATAAATCAAAACTGATCTAATACTGTCAAATTTTGAACACATTTATTTTTAAAGTTGTTATTTGCAGTAGTATGAACCAAGACAAATAAAATAAAACTTTAAAGAAAACCCTTGTCTTGAAAGACAGCTAGTGGTTCCCAGCAAAAAGGAATTTATTACCTTAGTTGTTAAACAGGAGATTGGTGGAGGCTTTGATTGATAAGCAAGGCTGGTAAAATTATCAGGTGGCCAATAACCTTGATTAAATGGTTTGAGAATTGTAATAAAAAAGCATCTTTTGAGTGGAGCCAAATTGTAAAAAAAGCATGCCTGAGCAGAGCCGCTGAGCTGCTGTTTCGCGGCGCTCCGGCAGAGCACGCCCAGTGGGTGGGGCAAGCGCTGGGATGTAGTGCGCAGGGGCGGGCTCAGACTGCCCCCGGAAACGTGTAAGATGGCGGCGGTGACGAGGACGGCGCACAGGGGAAGGAGGGGCTGGGACGGCGCATGGGGGAGGGGCTGGGAGGCGGCCCGACACAGCGTGCGAAGCTGGAACTGCTTGCAGGGAGTGAGGATTAGAAAGCCAATTTAGGAACACAGCTGGGTTTTGATTAGCCTCCTGGACCTGTTTTAAAAGTTTGTTATAGTTAGTATGCTTGTCCTGCTCTGGCACAGATATAGGCCCAGAGTCATTATAAACGTCCTTAAAATGTAAATCATAACAATTAGTAATGAATTCAAATTGCCTGATATAATTCTGTGGGTCAACAGAAAAGCTACCTAATTTATGGACAGTCTGGGATAGATCAGAAAGGGAAAAAGGCACATGGATGTTAACAAGTCCCTCGGGGCCAGCTTGCTCCCGAAGCGGTAGCAGAGCCTGAGGAGATTCCGGAGCAGAGGGCCACTGAGCAGCCATCCTTCCGGTAGGCGCATGTGAGCAATCATCTGTAGAGCGGCTACAGAGCTGCTGCCGGTCACCCTGAGAAACATGAGCAGATGGCGTCTCACTGTGTGCCTTGCAGCTAGAGGACTGCTGTCGGCAGCACAATGAAGCATCATGTGCACTGCAACAGGGCGGCTGTTGTAGTTCACAAGAGGAGCCACAAGGAGACGCCTGTTGACAGTGAGGGCCCTGGAAACATGGCGGCGCCCTGTCACGTGACCCAAAACATGGCGGCACCTGGGAATATGGCGGCACCCTGTCACGTGGCCCGAAACATGGCGGTGCCTGGGAACATGGCGGCGCCCTATCATGTGACCCGAAACATGGCGGCGCCCTGTCACGTGGCAGAGGGTTGCAACATGGCGACTGTTCCCTGCGCAAGCTGGAACAATCACGCGACCTGCTGGAAGGACATAGCGACCGAGACCTAGTATGGTGGGCAGAGGGTGAGAATGCTGTAGGGGATACAGAATTCTCAGGAGAGGAAGTCGGAGACTGCGAGGAAGCGCTAACAGAGGGATTAAAGCTGCTGGGAGAGTTATGGGTCCCGGAAGGCAGAGAGGGAGCCGATCGCACAGCGGGAGGTATCTGCGACAGAGAGGGATTAGAGCTGCTGGGAGAATCAGGCATAGGGGGAGGAGAGAGTGGCCCGGCGGGAGGTAACGGCAGGGAACGAGTTTGGTGGTAGGCAGGCGGTGGCCGGGAAAACGGATGGCAGGAAGGAAAAGTTTGCGGCGCAGTAGACTTAGCTAAAAGTATCTCAGCGGGAGCACAAGACTTAATGAGAGATGGGCGTGTTCTCAGAATAAGAAAGGCTTGGACATAAGGGAGTTCTAATAACTTGTTGCCAGCTTGACAAAAATCGTACAAGTTCCTGAGAATGCAGGGGTCAAATGTTCCTTGCTGAGGCCAAGGCTTGCCGATAAGCGGGTAGGTTGGCCAGACCTCCTGGCAGTAAAAAGTTAGTTGTTTAGTTTTTATGGTACCTTTAATTTTTAGAGTACGTAAATTGGAAATTAGGCATTTTAAAGGTGTCTTTTGGGAGTTAGAAAATACGTTCCCCATGACTGATTCAGGCAAGAAAAAAACCGGAGGTCCAGAAAAAAGTCGTCACTTATTTGTGGTACCACGCGGCGGCTACGGTTCCAAACCATAAACTCCAGTCATCACTGAGAGATTTACAAATGGAGTCTACGTGGGGTCAGTAACAGTTTTGCCCGTGAAAGCGCAAGGCTTTAAGGGAAGTGAGGCATTCTTTCAGTGTGGGCGGTCCCAAAAATCTCTGCTTTGGGCTATCCGAACCCAAAGAACGTGAGAGATTTTGTGGGCGCAGGTTTGCCCAGAAAGAACCCTGCCCTGGGCGGTCCTAAGGACGTGAAAATGCACAGACCCACGCAGACGGGGAGAACATTCCACTGGGGCTGCCCAGTGCGAAAAGTTCCCCGGGGAGTGCTCACCTGAAATCAGTCTGGCCGATGCGGAGTGCAGGCGGCTGGCGACAGGAACGTCTCGGGAGAGGAAAAAGCTCGGGATTAATCCAGGATGGTATCTGGTTATCGGCGAGGAAACTCTGGGTATGTGGCCCAAGAGTTAGTTGCCTGCCGATCGAGTCACGGCAACAAATGATAGAGTTATTTCCAAAAGATGAAAAATATTAACAAAAGATGAGAAATATAAAATAAAAAGCGGCCTTTATTCTGAGAACACGGAGAGAGATGACCGGCAACCCCACCGCTGGCGTCCGGCGATCTCTCCGGCGGACACGTGGCGTGGGGGCCTGTAAATAACCTCGGTTTGGGGTGGAACCTAAGGCGGGCATTAGGGATACACAGGTAGCCCATTGGTCCTAGGTTTGGCGCCATATGTAAATTCCCAGGGGCGGGAAGATGGCGTCACAGGTAACTTCCTAGGGGCAGGGCAAGATGGGGCTTCCTGCTTCCGGTTGTGGCTTTCCTGGCTACAGTGTCCTGTCTGGGCCAAACCTTTCATATCCCGTCTTATGGTTATTATGAAAAGGGGCAAAGCTTTCTCTCTTTAACTACTTCCTGCTGGCAAAGGGCGCTGTACTGGAGCCTAGGGGAGTTGACGGGATGAAGGTTGATGCCCAGGTAGACGCTGGTACCAGGTGTTTTGGCCAGGACAGCTTCACTGGTGAATGCACGTATGTCAGACTGGAAAAACAAAGAGACAAGATGTTATGAGGAGACATGGCACTGTCATATTTAAGGACCCAGGTGAGGTAAAGGGAAAGGTGCCTTTGATTTAGACATATCATTCTATCAGGACCATGTTGAGGTAGAAACATTTCCACGGTGAGGCAGAATTCTGAAAATTAAACGTGGGGTTAGGAGGAGTGGAGTTATGAGAGGTGATTACTCCCCCATCTGAAAGCATAAAAGTTAAGACGGTAGGTTGGTAAGGCTTGTCTCTGGTATGCATGATGTTGGAGTCTGTAGGCAATACTGCTAAAGAGTCCTGCTGTAAAAATGATCATTAATAGAATGTAAGAAATTAGGAACCAAAGTGGATAACAAAACATGACTTAGCCTGTTAACTGTGGCTGCGAGGCCTTTGTGAGACGGAGACAGGTAGGAGACAGAAGATGAGATGACCACTCAGAATGATCAGATTTAGGGCTGGGAGGGCACCTCTTAGCCTGAGTGATGTGAAACCAGGATGGCAGTCTAGCAACTTTGATTTAGGCATGGGTCACTGTAACCTGGTTGTAGTCCTTGGAATGATTTGCTGTAACAGAACTTTAGCAAGTATGAGAAAGGCTTTTATGTATCCTGAAAAAGTATAAACCAAGTGAGAAGACTGGGACCTGCACAAAATAGGCCCTGTTTGTAAATGGCATAGGTTGACCATCAATACCCCATCATAGAGACTGAGGACTTAATATAGCAGCCTGAAAACTCAGGAAGAACTCTGTATATATGGCCTCTATGTCCACAAATATAGAGAATGTCTTACCTGAGAGTTTTGTGCGACTTGGAATCTGAGACGGACACCTTAAAGGGGGCTGTTGTTGCCCTGAACTTCCTCAGTCTTCAGCAGCGATTTTCTGTCGGTGACGAATCTGGCAGTGTCGACATTTCCTATGAGGGCTAGAACTTAGGATGGCTTACCCACTCTCTGGTGGCTAGGACAGTCCAGTAGCCCTGGAGTAAGGTCTCAAAGAATGCCAGGGTGGGGCATTTTCTTGCCCAGTATCTTCTGCTGCATTTGAGCGTGGTCCATGGAGGGGGCAGGCAGCTCCACCTTGTGTAGGTTTACCTGTCTCAGAACTACAAGTGTCACAAGTGTTAAAAATATAAAAAACCATATTAAGATCTCTCTAAGGTTTGAAGGTCAAGTTTTGCCTTTTTGTTTGGGATTTGGACTATAGTAGAATTAAGTAAGCATGCAGGAATTTAATATTGGCATTTTGGATTAGAGAGCAGGCTTTATCTGGATGGCATATCGCTTTTTTTATAGGGTGACATGTAGAATTAACAAAGCTTTAGTCTGCCAAACAAGGCTTTAATGGAAACATTTTGCAGTAAAGGTTTAGCAATCTTATGAATAAATCAAAACTGATCTAATACTGTCAAATTTTGAACACATTTATTTTTAAAGTTGTTATTTGCAGTAGTATGAACCAAGACAAATAAAATAAAACTTTAAAGAAAACCCTTGTCTTGAAAGACAGCTAGTGGTTCCCAGCAAAAAGGAATTTATTACCTTAGTTGTTAAACAGGAGATTGGTGGAGGCTTTGATTGATAAGCAAGGCTGGTAAAATTATCAGGTGGCCAATAACCTTGATTAAATGGTTTGAGAATTGTAATAAAAAAGCATCTTTTGAGTGGAGCCAAATTGTAAAAAAAGCATGCCTGAGCAGAGCCGCTGAGCTGCTGTTTCGCGGCGCTCCGGCAGAGCACGCCCAGTGGGTGGGGCAAGCGCTGGGATGTAGTGCGCAGGGGCGGGCTCAGACTGCCCCCGGAAACGTGTAAGATGGCGGCGGTGACGAGGACGGCGCACAGGGGAAGGAGGGGCTGGGACGGCGCATGGGGGAGGGGCTGGGAGGCGGCCCGACACAGCGTGCGAAGCTGGAACTGCTTGCAGGGCGTGAGGATTAGAAAGCCAATTTAGGAACACAGCTGGGTTTTGATTAGCCTCCTGGACCTGTTTTAAAAGTTTGTTATAGTTAGTATGCTTGTCCTGCTCTGGCACAGATATAGGCCCAGAGTCATTATAAACGTCCTTAAAATGTAAATCATAACAATTAGTAATGAATTCAAATTGCCTGATATAATTCTGTGGGTCAACAGAAAAGCTACCTAATTTATGGACAGTCTGGGATAGATCAGAAAGGGAAAAAGGCACATGGATGTTAACAAGTCCCTCGGGGCCAGCTTGCTCCCGAAGCGGTAGCAGAGCCTGAGGAGATTCCGGAGCAGAGGGCCACTGAGCAGCCATCCTTCCGGTAGGCGCATGTGAGCAATCATCTGTAGAGCGGCTACAGAGCTGCTGCCGGTCACCCTGAGAAACATGAGCAGATGGCGTCTCACTGTGTGCCTTGCAGCTAGAGGACTGCTGTCGGCAGCACAATGAAGCATCATGTGCACTGCAACAGGGCGGCTGTTGTAGTTCACAAGAGGAGCCACAAGGAGACGCCTGTTGACAGTGAGGGCCCTGGAAACATGGCGGCGCCCTGTCACGTGACCCAAAACATGGCGGCACCTGGGAATATGGCGGCACCCTGTCACGTGGCCCGAAACATGGCGGTGCCTGGGAACATGGCGGCGCCCTATCATGTGACCCGAAACATGGCGGCGCCCTGTCACGTGGCAGAGGGTTGCAACATGGCGACTGTTCCCTGCGCAAGCTGGAACAATCACGCGACCTGCTGGAAGGACATAGCGACCGAGACCTAGTATGGTGGGCAGAGGGTGAGAATGCTGTAGGGGATACAGAATTCTCAGGAGAGGAAGTCGGAGACTGCGAGGAAGCGCTAACAGAGGGATTAAAGCTGCTGGGAGAGTTATGGGTCCCGGAAGGCAGAGAGGGAGCCGATCGCACAGCGGGAGGTATCTGCGACAGAGAGGGATTAGAGCTGCTGGGAGAATCAGGCATAGGGGGAGGAGAGAGTGGCCCGGCGGGAGGTAACGGCAGGGAACGAGTTTGGTGGTAGGCAGGCGGTGGCCGGGAAAACGGATGGCAGGAAGGAAAAGTTTGCGGCGCAGTAGACTTAGCTAAAAGTATCTCAGCGGGAGCACAAGACTTAATGAGAGATGGGCGTGTTCTCAGAATAAGAAAGGCTTGGACATAAGGGAGTTCTAATAACTTGTTGCCAGCTTGACAAAAATCGTACAAGTTCCTGAGAATGCAGGGGTCAAATGTTCCTTGCTGAGGCCAAGGCTTGCCGATAAGCGGGTAGGTTGGCCAGACCTCCTGGCAGTAAAAAGTTAGTTGTTTAGTTTTTATGGTACCTTTAATTTTTAGAGTACGTAAATTGGAAATTAGGCATTTTAAAGGTGTCTTTTGGGAGTTAGAAAATACGTTCCCCATGACTGATTCAGGCAAGAAAAAAACCGGAGGTCCAGAAAAAAGTCGTCACTTATTTGTGGTACCACGCGGCGGCTACGGTTCCAAACCATAAACTCCAGTCATCACTGAGAGATTTACAAATGGAGTCTACGTGGGGTCAGTAACAGTTTTGCCCGTGAAAGCGCAAGGCTTTAAGGGAAGTGAGGCATTCTTTCAGTGTGGGCGGTCCCAAAAATCTCTGCTTTGGGCTATCCGAACCCAAAGAACGTGAGAGATTTTGTGGGCGCAGGTTTGCCCAGAAAGAACCCTGCCCTGGGCGGTCCTAAGGACGTGAAAATGCACAGACCCACGCAGACGGGGAGAACATTCCACTGGGGCTGCCCAGTGCGAAAAGTTCCCCGGGGAGTGCTCACCTGAAATCAGTCTGGCCGATGCGGAGTGCAGGCGGCTGGCGACAGGAACGTCTCGGGAGAGGAAAAAGCTCGGGATTAATCCAGGATGGTATCTGGTTATCGGCGAGGAAACTCTGGGTATGTGGCCCAAGAGTTAGTTGCCTGCCGATCGAGTCACGGCAACAAATGATAGAGTTATTTCCAAAAGATGAAAAATATTAACAAAAGATGAGAAATATAAAATAAAAAGCGGCCTTTATTCTGAGAACACGGAGAGAGATGACCGGCAACCCCACCGCTGGCGTCCGGCGATCTCTCCGGCGGACACGTGGCGTGGGGGCCTGTAAATAACCTCGGTTTGGGGTGGAACCTAAGGCGGGCATTAGGGATACACAGGTAGCCCATTGGTCCTAGGTTTGGCGCCATATGTAAATTCCCAGGGGCGGGAAGATGGCGTCACAGGTAACTTCCTAGGGGCAGGGCAAGATGGGGCTTCCTGCTTCCGGTTGTGGCTTTCCTGGCTACAGTGTCCTGTCTGGGCCAAACCTTTCAAAAACAAGATCTTCCTTGTGAACAAATAAATGTCAATAAGGGTCGTGTGATATTGTGGCAATATGATATTGGTAAGATTATTTGATTCATGATGTTGGTAGAGTTTCTGTCACCAGTTCTGATCAGTGGCTGGGTTGATAGCCACATTGCATGTGTGTATTGCAAGGTCGTTAGAGTCCAAGACACTTGATTTCTGAAAGGTGGAGAATGGCTTGTGTGCTGTGTTTAGCTGGCGCGGGGATGTGTGCGAGTGTTAATTCTAATGACTGCAAGAGCACTGGATCACTTTAGGAGGAGGAGGGAAATGATGTTTCACTAGTGTTCTGTATGAGCCTGTTTTCTGTAACTAAAAGGCAAATAATGAACAGATTAAATGCCTAAAACTTCCTGAGATACCTGTGACACTTCTGCAGTAGTTGAACCAGAGCATAGTGTTGTAAGCAAAATAGTGCAACAAATCTTAGTTTGAAAGTGATTGAACAATGTCCCTAGAAACTTTCAGTGCATGAAGCTGACCAGAAGAGGGCACCACATGCACATTCACGTACTGTAGGTGAAACTTTCAGTATCTGGCTGTGACCCTACAAGTGAAATTGGCACATTTTGTAGCAATCAGACCCAGGGGGAAATTTCCTTGGAGTGTAATATAGGTTAAGTTTACAATTGCAAAGTGAAAAATGGTTCCATTAATGTTATTTTTGCCCTGGGGCATTAATCTCTCTGACTTCTTTTCTAATTTTTTTTTTCTTTATCTTAGTAGCCATTTCTTCTTGACCTCCCCTGTGGATCTGTCTTCATCTCTTTGCATTGCACACTGGGCTACCATCCTGGTCTCAGTCTGCTTTCATTTGTTTCGCTCACCTTGTCCTTTGGAATTGGTCCTCCTAGCTCAGTGTAGTTCCCTGATCTCCAGAATCCCTCCTGTGCCTCTGGGTTAGGATAGTGCAAGCTGGAGGCTGGGAACTCCTCACAATTCTAATCTGCGCCCTCATATATCCTAAGTCTCCCCTGCTGCTCACTGTTGCTTCCCTTCAACTCTCCTGTTCTCACAATATATGGTTTGAAATTCTCTGGTTGTTCAGTTTCAAACCAATGGAACAGGCATCCTGAATTTCACCTTGTTCTCACACATCACATCCAGAAAGACAACGCAGTTCATTTGTTTTGCCTTTAAAATATAGTCATCTGCCTACTTTCACTACAGCATCTGGGGGATCAATATCCTGCATGAAGACCTTGAGGTGAAGAGTGTTCATCTCTCTCTCTTCCTTGTCACTGGTTCTTTTTGCTCAGCTGTCTTCCTCAATCTCTCTTCTGGTCAGAGGAGCTGCACCTTGTTGTTCTGATTCTCCAAACTCTTCCTCTCACACAGAGCAGTCTGTACTGTGCTGTTCCCCAGACAGAAGTGCAGGAGGGCAGCTGGGCCTCCCCAGGCAGGGAAGTTTGTGTTCCAGGCTGTAGCACCATGGGAGGTTCATGTGTACCTTGCACAAATTTTTTTGTGATTTTCATATATACTAAATGTGTTCAATTACAATAAAGTACTGAGGATTAGAACCCTTCTTGAGAATTAATGTGCATCATCCTTTTCTTTCTTTGTGACATGGTCACCTCACCATAGTCCCGACTCCAGTGGAATCTTCTTCATTCACACAGACCTCAAGCTCTTGTTCTCATCCTGTCAAGAAAAGCTGCAGTCTCTCATGTGGAGGGAACAACACAGGAAACAGTGGGACCCCATCGCTCTCAATTGCTCTCCTTCCTTTTCTCCCTCCATCCTTATCAGATATGTACAGCATTAGCAGCACCAAGA